GCGCCAGACTATCGGCTTGTCTGCTTGTGCTGCAGAAGGCTCGATTGCTTCAGCTGCAGGTCCTGGACAGAATTAATGTTGATTCTGCTGCGTTCTGCTGCACAAACAGGCAAGCCGATAGTCTGGCGCCTATCATAGAAAGGTAATTTGACAATGGATCAGTAGTTATTGTTCTCCAGACCCATAGTTTCTCAGAGTGAAGGATTCGGAAATAGTCATGCTAAGCATGTCCTTAGCTCAAAACGTCTTAAAAATAGTTGTTTGCGATAAGGCAGTGCCACACCCCTATGCAAGGTCATTGCCCTGTCAGCATTCACTCCTCGATGGTGGAGTATTGTGCATAGGAGTTCGAAAAATATAGCTGTTGGCGATGGTATGGTCAGAGGGAGGGGTGCTGCGGTGCTGCAGGTTTACAAGCAGCTGAATCTACGTTGTTTCATGGGAATGTAAAGTCCTTTCTCTTTTGCGTCACTGCCGATTTGGTTGGCCACGGACCACATCTGCAACAAACAAGTGACTTGTCTCAGTACCTATTTTTTCTATCTTCAGACGCTGACTATACACATAAGAACACATACTGGAGAGAAGCCATACCCTTGTAATATCTGTGGACAAGAATTCAGAGACAGGTCTGTTCGAGTGCAATTAGCACGCAAGTCAATTACGCACAACATATTTTTGAACTTTAGCTCTGCGCTTCGGAAACACGAATACAGACATACTGCGCTGCCGTCTTCGTCTGTTTCTTCGATTTATGGTGACTCCGCGATAGAGCTTGATGTTGACGAAGACGAACGGTTGTGGAATGAGGGGAGCTCCTGACTGTAGTAGTACCTTTCTAGTTTATCTTTTTCAGATCTCAAAAAATGTGTGCTTACATGTAATGTTCATTTTGTATGTTCGTCTATTTATTATAGAATGAAATTGTGGGTATGGAGAAATTTCAAAAATGATACATTCGTATTTGGTACATTTCACATGACGCTAGAGAGTAGTTTCGGTCAAATGCCACTATTCACTTCATCTGATTTATTAGAATTCACGCAGCAGAAGCACAACTTCCATGCTCTGTAGTGTACTGTATATCCAAAGATAATCAGTCGATTCGCTCAGATTGTGTAAAGTAAAACTTGATTGATTTCTGGAATGTCTGTCCTCAAAACCTTGATCACTCGTGATTTTAATTTTCAGATTTGTAGAAATTTTGACCGCTGAAAAACCCGAAGGATGGTAAAGGGTAGGTACTATCGACTTGACGATTTGAACAGTTTTTTGAGAAAGACTAAGTATTCAGTTACGAAGATGATAACGTCAGCATTAAATTACCTCCAAGGCGATGGCTGTCACCACGCCTTCTCAACTTTGCTTAGAGAAGATTCCCAAAGTGTGAGATGTTGCAAATTTGGACATGAGGTTACCTATATAGGTAAATACGTCTCAAGACTGATTTTGATGAAGTAAACTATCAACTTTTGCAAACGAGAACAATTTGATATTTGCATAAGTTTATAGCTCATAGTCTTTTAGAAATTCTCATTCATTTTTTGAGTTGGAACAAGGATTCAGTTCTCGGCAACAGACAACAATCAACAACAACAGAACAACAAAGATGATACAGCGTAAGAGGCGAAAGTAACAAGATCAACAATATGAGGGGTAGGGAAACATTCAAGATGAAGACCCTGCACCAGTCTTTGCCATTAGCTTCTTCCGTTTATTCTTGACCATTTTGGCACTTGTTTTAGCAAGCGCCCGTTTTCCTATTTTCTTCTTGAATGTTTTCTGTTTTTTGATCTTGTGAACAAAACCGGTCTGCAAACAGAAATGTAATTTTAAAAGATTATCTATATTTTTAACCTTGTTGAATCCATCATCCGAGGCTGGGACTTTCTTAGCCAAATTCTTCAACTGGTTTCGCTTTTTCTTCATTTTTCGTTTGCTATTTCCTGGCACCTTGCTGCTTTCCTCTAAAAAAATTTACTTCATAGAAACATGAAAGGCTGCAAACATTTAGCACTAAATTTAAATACCATCGTCGGAGGTATCGCTGCCCTGTTTCTCCTTCAATTTTGAAGACTTGATCTTGCTTTTCTCACCATTTACTTTCGCTTGTTTTTCAACTCCGTTGTTCTCCAGGTTTTCTCGTTGAGCCTGGATTTTTGGCTAACGAAGGCGCAAAAATGTTAGTCCAACTTACGATATCAACACTTGCTTTGCCCATCTTCGCATTAGAAAGTTTCTTCAACTTTGCAACAAAGAAGCCATCGATATTATGCACATGCGGATAGTAGCGTCTTGTCAAGCTGAGGGACGGATGGAACCGGTACTCACGGAATCTGTCATGTACAAATGTCTCACAAAGAATTATGTGCGAAGCAAGTCATAAATCATGCCGAAGCGAGGCTTATAGATCAATTTTTCTGCGGCTATACTGAACCTAAATCGGAGTGGAAACGGCGCATCAAACGGTACGCACTTAGTAGGAGTATGCTACATGTAACGACAGCGTTACGAGTGCGCAAGTTCAACTTGGGTTTAATCATACGAAAATCGGTTTACTGGTCTGGTACAGGCGCGACGTACGAGTAATTGCACCATGATAAAACAATCCTTGACCCTAAAGGCCTTAGAGGTTTTGGTGTTAACCTTTCAATTCAACGCAGTTTGTAATTCAGCCAGACCCAACAATGACGAAAAAAATTCAAACAAATCTACCTTGGCAATCTGAATGCGCTACTATGAAAAGTTAGAAATAAATCAAGAATGTTAATGAAGCACGATTACACAAAATCACCTGGTAAATCCTTCTAC